CCGTTGGGCCGCCCACAGGGCGCGGTGAGGCCGTAGAGGGGCTGCAGGAAGGGGCGCTGGGTCGGGGAGGAGGGGTCGGCGTAGAGGAGGGTGAAGGTCGCCGCCAGAAGTGGGGGAGACGCCATGGAGGGAAACTCACACGCTGGGGGACCCCCCTTTTGCCGCCGCGGTCGTTTGAGGGGAAGAGAGGAAAAGAAAACAACAGAGAGAGAGAGAGAGAGAAAAGGACGTGCACCCCCCCAATGAGGCTAAAATCCCTTTAGGTTTGGGGTTTGGTGGTACCCTTTTACAACGAATGAAGCAGATTAACCTATATGTTTCTATTAAACATCAAAATTCAAAAAGCTAAAATCACACAAAAGAGAGAATGAACTAAAGGATCGCAATATCAAAGGTCAGTTTCATACTGTTATTGGGGTCCATCGTCATATACCGAATGACTCACCATTTCACCAACAAGTGTGTAGGGAAGGCAAAGGAGAATCATGAAAAAATTTACGTTTTGGATCTTGAAAAACAAGATCCATCTTATTGATTTAGACAGTTCTTTCATTATTCTTATTGTTAATGACAAACCGCATTAGTAACTGACAGCTACAACTACATTAAAATAACTGATTCTAATGCAGAGGGAATTATTTTTGAATTGATTAAGAAAGGTTAAATGGAAAGCAATGGTTCAATTTCATTGAAACACCTAAATGTACACAAAACACACAAATAAAACAACATAAAAAATAAGGGTAAATATGTGTTGCCTGATTTTAAATTATTATTGCTTAATACCATGATGTAAGCACAGAAAATATTCAAAAAAAAATCCAATAGAATATCTATTTAGAATTTTTTTCTAGGTTTTATAAGGAATTTTCTTAATTTTAATGAATTCTGAGGGAAAAACTGATTTAGTCCTGTCCCTGTTAAAATGGTCGTTTAAGCCCTCTAAACACCTTTTCCGTTTTAATTCATCAGAGAAACCTTTTCAAGTTCCTTTATAATATTTCATCATTGTTTCTTCCCTAAGCTATGTTCCATTTGTTTAATTTTATCAACATACGCTCCTGTAACAATGAATAAACCTTGTCACATTGTTAATTCTCTTTGTTAATTATGGAACCCGAAAATATTCACTTTCCCCCTATTGCCCAGTTACTATTGTTAGTATGGATGAAAGTTTGCATAATAATAATTCTACACAGACTCAAAGAGGTCTTGCAGTGAGGAGGGTAAAAAAAAGGACCAAGCTAATTTAGAAGGGTAAAGCGTTTAGCCTAATACAACACATACACAGGGAGTGTAGTATAAAAATTAGAATCGAATCTATAATGAAATTATGGAGGAATAATTGAAATCACAAATATCTTTACTGTACCTATTGTAATAAATAAAGATACTCAAATAAATAAAATAATATTGAGGTAAATGATCCACAACGGAAACCCACTGAATTAGGAGAAAGAGAAGTACCAAAGGTTTATTATTATTGTAAACAGTACTTGCACTAGTCTGCGGTTTCTCATGCCTTGGATATGATTGGATTGAGTAAAGGGAAGAGAGGAAAGAAGAGTAGAGAGAGAAATTGGTGACGGCTACTCCCCTAATTCGTCCCCTTGTTCTCTGCATTTTACTCTTGGCACGAATGAATATCAAACCTTCCCCTTTTGCTATTATTCCTATCCGAGTTGACAATGAGCCCTACTGTCTGATGGGCCAACAATTATATAGAAAACGCTAGAATATCATTTACTTATCGTAAGTTTGGGTGTTTTTCACTGAATGATGTGAACACTACACCAGAAAAGCCTTACTATTGTTCAGGAAAAAATCAGAATGTCCTGATATTATTTTCCATTGGTTTGGGCTACAAGGAACACTGATATACTTCGCAAGGAGTTTAGAAAAAAAACAAAAACAAACAAGCCAAAACAGCAATAAGCCATTTACGTACATTAATTCTAGTGTTTATAGAAATTCAAAAGAGCAATTAAAGACAGATTGAAGGACATATCGATATAGTGCAGAACGAAAAGAATATATGGACATATATCGTAACCTTTTACTTACAAAAGAACAAAAAATGAATGCCCTCCATCCGCTATCTCTCAACTACTTTTAGATGCATATGCCGTGGAAGCTAACGCATAAGGAGTAAAGGCGACCAGCTCCGCAGAGGAAATGATGAAAATAATCGACGCAAATACCCGGTGCGCATCAATAACACACAATGTTTGCGGATTTCTTTACAAAATTCCACTTTTATATGATTTTTTTTTGTGCGAATACACAAAAAGACGCTACATAGCGTGCACCGTAATAAAAAATATTACCAAAGCTTCATGGTATTTTATTTCAGTTTACTAAACATTGTATGCATATGGGAAATATATAATTCGAGCTTTTTCTAATTATTTTCTACTATGAAACAGAGTCTTGGACTCAACAAATAAAACGGACAAGTAGTGTTTATAACTGTTAATTCATAATTATGTATAGATTTCGAATAAAATAATAGTAAAAAAAAGGGATAACTATAATTTTTTAATTTTGTGTTGGTTCGGAAAGTAGATAAGAATATATAGCACACATATAGTATATAAATAATAAACAAAATCAAATAAATTAAGGTCTTTTCGCGCACACGTGTGCGAAATCATCAATTACACATGTAATTATTCCGATTGTAGTTCGTTTTGAAGTGTAAAGGAGTTAGACATGATTAACATAGGAGTGATATTACCAATCAACACAAAAAAACAACTACACCAAGCTAAGAAATGAGGGAAAGATGATCCCTGTGTAACTTCTGTCGCCACTGCACCTTTCTCCATGACAGCTTTTCTTTCTTTTCTGTGTACAACGTTTCATTGTAACCTTTGCGACTGACACTATTTTGATCAATCTTTTTCTCTCAAGAAGACAGGTATTCTATTAATAGGAGAGGATTTATTGGGTTAGAAGGTTTTTTTTTTGAAGGGTTACCCAGCTTGATGTATTTAATGAAAAACAAGGCTCCAAGCTTTTCCCTACAAAGGAGGTCAAAATACACTAGAAAGCGTTGTCAAAGAATAATAAAAAATAGGCTTTTTTCAACACCCCTCTAGCAAGTCAGGAAAAACTAATTCGTCATCACGATACACCTGACGTTCATCACATATTGATTTCATCATAGAGCACATTATTAATAATTATATATATTTATATCTGTTTAGACATCCCCTGGGGTATCTCACTTTCTTTCCTTTTCTGCGACCCCTTTTGATTGGTCCGATGCCTGCTCCGGCGTCGCCGTTTTGATCGCCTCCAGCGCCTTCATGTTGTGTTTGTACATGCTGAAAGGGTCCGTCTGGAGGTATTTTTCCTCCAGCGGGGTGTTGTCGTGGGTGGGGCGATGCCAGCGATCCTTCCCGCGGCGACGCGGCCCGCGATGGTATCGTTTCGAACTCGGCTCGTAAACCGCGCGTTGTGGGGGTGGTTTGGACTGGGCCTGGGAGAGGGGGCCCCGGGGACGGCTCTTCACGCCGCCCGGGTGCCCCACCGGCTCCGGCGCGCACGGGGTGGCCTTCCGCCGTGCGGGGCCATGAAAGGGCTGCAGGGGGGTCTGCGGTTGGGACAG